TACCATTTCCCAGGTCAGCAGTGCCAATCCTAATGCATGTTTTCTATTTTGAGACTACCCATGGATTTTTCTGTTCAGTTCCACAGGAAATTACCAAGCTCTTAACACTCTTGATATTCCTGGGACTCTGAATAGTCTTGCTTTTCCAGTCCACACAGAAGATATATATAACACCGTTCCTACAACCAGTTTAGGGGAAATAAAAAATTTTGCTAAAAATGTCAGTAAAAAAAATGTCACAGTTTAGTCTTATGTCTCTCTGAGCCAAACTATGAAAAATGTATTTTACCTATAACAGGAAAATATGAAAGTATGTTTTTGTGACAATATGCACTAATTGTCTGTCTACATCTTCACTTGAACCAAGTGAATCAGATCCTTCCATTGCACATGGTTCCAAACAAGGAGTGCCCAACCCTTCATTAAGCTGGAGAGAAAAGTTCATCAAGACCAGAATGAGCTTTTACTTGTTTATGTCACAAAATAGAAACCAGTGTTCAGTGGGCAGATGTATACATTTAGCCTAGGTGATAGCGGTGAGCAAAGGGGAAAGGCACAATTTAAGAAATATCTCCTCCCCGTATCATAAAAATATCAGTCATCAGATGACCCCAAATCTGGGTCTCCTTATATATGCATTTTATACAACTTCAGTCAGTATGTGCCCTGGTTTCTCTTTCTAATTTCATGACTAGGATGGAAAGCTAACAACGCAGTATGTCATGGTTAATATGTCAGCCAAAGTAGTTCCGATGTTGCAGACAGAGTCCACTAGTCCAATAGTCATGTCATACATTTTCCCCAAAGATTGACAGAAGATCATAGAATCACTGGAGTCTGAAAAACCCAATATTGGATTCCCCATCTCTAGATCCATATGCTCTGGCTGAGTTTTGGAGTAATTTTATGTGGAATGGCAGAGGAAATTTCTTTGTGCGTTAGAGATGACAGGTTTGGAGGGTGGATTAGGAAAGTAGGGTGCCACTTTTACTAGCCATTAGGTCATTTGAACAGTTGTCAAAGAAATCCTCCCTCGTACTTCAGAAATGGGGAACGTTCAAGTCCTACTACCAATTGAGCTTAAATAGTCTGACAGTAACACTATTGCTCTAAAAAAATAACTTGTTAACCAGGCACTGATGGCTCATGCCTGTAATTCTAGCTAATCAGGAGGCTGAGATCTGAGGACTGTGGTTTGAAGCCAGCTCAGGCAGGACAGTCTAAAACTTTGTTTACATTTTGCTCTTTGCCTTCATGTTGGTTGGCTCATAAAACATCGGTTCTCAGCCAGTATAACCCTCTCAAACCTTTAGGGCATCAAGTTCCTTTTCTTAGCTGATTCCTCAAAGATGGGGACTGTTCAATCTCTGTACAAGCTGCATTACTGTCATGATGTTAAATTGTTATTTTTTAAGCAGGAGATGAGAGCGTAATTTACAGAAAGTGATGGAAGCTGGGAGGATGCTTAGATGACCTAGGTTTATCAATCTTTTCTTGGCTCAGCATCCCTAGCCTCTATGTACCTAGATGGCAGTAGCAGCCTCCCCTTAAGTTTGGTTTGATTTTAGTTACTAGTGGTGGATTTTTTTCTTTTGTTTTCTTTCTTTTTTCTTTTTCTTTTTGTCAGTTATGGGGCTTGAACTTGGGACCTAGGCGCTGTTCTTGAGCTCTTCTGCTCAAGGCTAGAGCTCTACCACTTTGGTGCCACAGCATTACTTCTGGTTTTCTGGTGGTTCATTGGAGATGAGAGTCTCATGGACTGTCCTGCCCAGGCTGGCTTTGAACTGCAGTCCTCAGATCTCAGCCTCCTGAGTAGCTAGGATTACAGGCGTGAGCCACAGGCACCCAGTTTCCGTTGATTCTTTATGTCTTACAAATTTGGGAGGGGTCAAGAAAGATGAATGAAGTCAAATGGTGGGAGCTAGTAAAGGGATGACCTCAAGACTCCACGTGTGAGAATACCAAAGCAAGAAGGAGAGGACTTACATTTCCAGGGCTTCCAGGGGCAGAAATCTGTTACGAGCAGGACTGGAGGCTGCAGTGGGTGCTCATGGAGTCTGCACTGTTACATTCATTTCACATAATTAGTGGCAAACCAGGCTAAGAGAATTCACTGAACCTTAGAACAGATGGTGCCTGGCTAACAGGATGTCCCTTGTCCTGTTTATTCAAGAACAAACCATGTCTTTAAAAACACTAAAGTCATAGCTCACAGTCTTCACTGGTCTCTGGGAAGGAGAATGGTTGCTCTGAACCAGTGTTTTTCAAACCTGGTTTAGGACTCCTGATGTTGGGACCTCTGATGCTTGACCCATACCTTTTAGTGGCACGTCATAGAATGTGCAAAGTGCTTCTTGTACAGTTTTGTGAATGGATTTTGTTTCCGCTGTATGCATAAGGGTATAAATGTGCTGAGTTAAAATGAGAAATGTAGATGAAGCTCACAAAAAATAGAAAAATGCCACTTAGAAGGAAAAGGATGGATGGATTGTGGTATGGAATTAGGAGAGTGAATCCATGCTTCCCAGTTGTTTGTTTCTGCTGTGGTAGGCCTGAACTGTTTACTCTCTGATAGGTGGCTCTGGAGCATGTGTATGTACACATGTGTGAGTACATGCCCACACATGTGGGATCTACATGTGCTGTGCTACGTGACAGAGTACTCCCTTCTAAGAAGTCAGCATACGCCCTGATGCAGTAGATCATTTCCCCATATCAGTGATCTTGAGAGGCAGAGATACAGCCTTTTGATATTGACATAAAATGATCACAAATGCCTTAAATTTTGTTTCCAGTTCATAAATTTTGTTTTCAGGCAGAAGCTAGTCAGCTCAACAATAATAGCCTAAGTCCCATGATCTGTGTTGTAAAACAAAAGGATTCGAGTTAAGCACTGGGCTTGGTACCTGAGGGGGCAAATTTCTAGGGTCTATTTCCTTACCAGAAACCTCAGTAGTCACCCATATTGCTTGATGTTCCCAAACCCCATGAACAAAAAAGTGTCTTCCTTAGCTTTTCTTGTTAGCTTTTGAAGTCTCATGTCTGGTGGTAGGGGCAGAAAACCACGCAGCTGAGCAAAAGCCCTTTTGTAGAAAGAGGAGGCTCAGAAACGTGGGGAGGTGTCATCAGCTTGTGCAGCATTTATTAATATCTGGAAGGTAGGGAGAGGGACAGAGGTGTGAAGTGTCTGCCATCATCTTCATTGGAAGCCTGCCTGGCAGCCTGTGAGTCTGGCTTGTTCATGCTCTCCAGGGCTGAGGACTGGGTTCCATTGCCTCCAGCTCAAAGCATCTCCTCTCAGTGGCAGCTGATGCACCCATCAGCTTTTTGTGTATACACACTGCTGGCCGCGGAAGGAAGGGCCCACTCCACCCCTCCGCATTGCCAGCAATCCAAAGCCATATGTTCCTCACACTTCGTACGGAGTGTTGGGCACCTCATGACAATCAGCCTGGAAATGAATGCACAAGAGGCACGTGACAGGCAGATGGCTGCAAGACTAGCTTAAGGGAGATCTCAATGGGATGTTTCTAAGTTTGAAACTGTGGGGGAGTGCCTGCCACTTTTTATTTATTTACTTATTGATTGATTTGGGGCCAGTACTGGAACTTGAACTCAGGGTCCGATGTTGCCCTTTAGCTTTTTCACTCAAGGCTAGCACTCTAACGTTTGGGCCACAGTTCCATTTTCAGCTTTTTGCTGGTCAATTGGAAGTAAGAGACTGATGGACTTTTCTGCCTGGATTAGCTTTGAACTGTGATCCTCAGATCTCAGTCTTCTGAGTAGCCTACCAGTTCTTCAGTAGATCTGACAGGCCATTACCAGATTTAAAGCATCCCAAGCTTTACAAGCCCAAGCTGACACAGGGCTAAAGTGTTGGGACTTTGTCATACATGTCCTCTGTCACTCTGTTAGGGGGTGGCTTATGTTAGGGATAACTAATTCCTCCAAACCTGACGTTCTGAGACCTGTGGTCTATTCAGCAGTAAGATATAAAGTCTATATTTTGAGCTGACTGAAAGAAATGACTGCACAGCCTCTTTCATCACAAATATAATGCCCTGGGAGGGGATACAGCAGCAAACCAGACAGACAGGGACGGTCTCCAGAGCCCCAAGCCCCAGAACAATGCTGGACACAGAGTGGGCATGTAATATCCATTGAGAAAATCCACAGATAGTGACTGGCCTGGCCTGTGAGGTCACAATCTAAGACAATGCTTTGGGTCTCTGAAATCACAGACTCTGTCTCACCTGTTAGCAATGGTATTTCATTTTTCTTGGACAATGTCATACTTGAATTTGATTCATACACTAAAAATTATGGGCCCTTATAAATAGCTTCATTTTCTCTCTGGATATCTTTTACTGGCCAAATCTTCACACTGCAGGTCTATTAAGCCACAGTGCATTGTGATGCCCAGCTTGCCCGCAAACACTTACTAAAATAAAATAGAATTGTCCTATTCATGTTGTAAAAACAAGAAAAATTATGGTATCGCTTTACAAGCAGAATACTGTTGAATGTAATGTCAACTTAGCTCAGTTCCTCAGCTGCCCGATCACTTTGAACTTCCAAATTGTTCTTTGCCTTCCACCCTAAATAGGGCAATGCAATTTTAAGGGAATGCTTCAATTCCTTGTAAAATATGAGCTAACACTTCTCAGTTTTTATCCATACTTATTGTATCACACGTAAGAAGTCTCCATGCCAAAAGAAGATATGGAACAGTACCATGAAAGAGAGTAGTAGTTAGTATACAAGATAGCTAAGGAGCTGTCTATAATATCTTACTATCATCATTCTTGGTGGCTGAATGCTAATCAGTTTAATGCCTTCAAGCAAACATAAGCTTAAATGCTATTAAAAGTCTTTACATGACATTTGCTAGCCACTTAGATCAAGTTTACATTAAGAAGGAAGCCTACTTATACGAGTAATGGTAATAGAAATGGTCTTGGGAAAAGCTACTTAACGTCTTTGAAGGTTTTTTTTTTTGACTATTTTCTAAGTGGGCCTTTTAGAAGCATTGGACCAAAGCACCTTAAAACATGTTCCTTATTAATACAAGCGTTAACTAGCATGGATGTTACTTGGATGTTTAGGGGACTGCCTGGATGTGTGTTTATGGGGAGACTGAGGCAGGTGAGGGTCAGGATTTGGGCCGCCTGCCTCTGAACATAATTCTTTAGAATCTATCCTAAAGCTAGATGGGGATGGTGGGAAGGCAGTATCTACAGGACCAGCAAACCTGTTGGAAATGTAGACACTCTACCCTAGCCTCACCAAGTCATGTTCCATATTCAAACCAGATCCCTGCATCCCTGCATATTCTGTATTAATATTAAAGTTTGGGGTGGGGAGGCTCCATGTTAGGGTTCCAAAGCCCCTGATTGTTCGTGGCGCTTGGGTTGTTCCTTGCTTCTTAAATCATCCCAGAAAGGGGACAGCATCTCCCCTGCCATTGGTACCTTTTCTTTCTTATCACTCCCACCCCCATTCCCCAGACCCAAAGGAATTTCTCAACATCTGATGTCACTTTTATCAAGAGCCCTGTGCAGGGCTCTGACCTTATCCGGCTTTCTGCTGATGGGTAAGCTTGGCAGGGACTCCCAGGCTGGAGGTTCTTTCTGCTTCCCTGTAGCCTTCCCCCATTCCTTCACTGAGGCTGCCCTGAAAGCCACCCTTCTAAGTCATCCATCAAAATGCAATTCCCTTCCCATTGGACATCCCTCCCATGCTGGAGGAGGGACTTCTCAGTCCCTGTTTCTCTCATAAAAATCCTGCCCCCTCTAACTTCATTATCAGTGTCTCTGCTAGTATTTCAGAGGATACTGATAGGGAAAAGGCGGTCATGCCAAATGTTTTGGGGCTGTCAGCCAAGGTTTACTCAGTAGGGGGGGTGGTATGGCAGACCCCTGAACATACTTCATCTGGCCCTGCTTTTCATTCAGAGGCTCAGCCTGTAGCAGGTGCTGGATGCACCTGGCATCCTCACCCACACCCAGACTGGCCAGCCACTTGGCCCCTTGAAGCTATGTGGTCCTCCGTTCCAAACTGTGCCAGGGTAAAGAGCTCTGCAGGAAAAGTGGGCTGGATACTTAGAAGCGCACTGCTTACGAATTCAGGCTCTGTGGGCTGGGAGTTAGCACAGCCAAGGTTAAGAGAACATTTGTGGGGGGGTCAATGAGTTAAGGACCCCTCCAGGCTCCTCTGGAGTGCCTAGCACCCAGGGCAGAGATTCTCTAATCAGAGGAGACAGGCAAGGGGAGGAACAGGATTGCTTTCTGGCCATAGTGAGTCCGAGGACCACGCTTGCAGCTTCCATTCTTTTTGAGGCCGACAAACCAATTCTTTTCAGCATGTTTCTTGGCTATGTAGGTGTTATAATGATTTTCTTCCAGCCTCTCCAGGAACAAGCATTCTTCATCAGGTGTCTGCTAAAAAGATCAATCCAAAAGAGGGTAGAATAATCAGTGAGTGGTTCTAAAGCTTCCTTCTCCATTCACTAGCTAGCTATGACTGTGGGCAAATTACTGCAAGTGCTCTGGGCCTGGGTTTCTTCTTCAGGCGAATAGGGATGAGGGAATCTATCTCACAGAGTGGGTAGGAGGAGTTTGAAAGGTACCCAGAACATAATGAGCCTGCAGAATGCACCTGCTGTCACTGTGAGCAGTCCTTGCCTTTACTGTTCTCAGGACTCTGGGATGTCTTCTGGGAGAGCCTGCTGGACTGTAAGCACCCAGGGTAGATGGACTGTTCATCTCTTTGGAGCCCTGGCCTACAGCAGTCCACAGAATAACATTCCAGACAGGTAATCCAGGTGGTGGTGGTACAGTCTAAGAGGAAAGGTGTCTCAAGTTTGGATTTGAAGAAGAAATAAAAACCTATGAAAATTCCTTTCCACCCTGCTGATTTTCACTCAAAATATCCGTTTTACTTTAATATAGCTATAAACATGAATACTTGTGCAAAGTTCATACTAAGACATAGCCTAGAACTAAAATAACTTTTCAAATGAAAATAACTTTTTTTGTTACTTAGAAAAAGAATTAGCTGGGCATGATGATGCATTTATGTAATCTTAGCACTCCAGAGACTAAGGAGGGAAGATTTTGAGATCAAGGCCAACCCGAGCTGAAAAGGCAGATTTTGTCTAAAAAAATCATTAAAGAAGAAAACATAAAACCAAATAAAACTCAGAACCCACCATCTAAATATAGTCAACTATACTTTCTTCCTCCACTTCCTCTTCCTCTTTGAAGTCTTCTTTTGAGGTGCTGGGGATCAAACCTAGGGCCTTGCATGTGCTGGACTATCACTAGGTGACTGTTAACAGTTGTTGAACACTGCCTTCCCCTCATCTTTTTATGTACATGTACAGTAGATAAGGTTCTATGGATACAATTCCTAATATTATCAAAGTGGTATGGTGTATCTGCTCTTTTAATATTGGACAACCAACTTAAAAGACATACCCAATATTACTACCAAGAAAAATGCAAGTTAAAGAATTGTGTATTATGTGTTGACTATCATTTCTTTCAAGATCAAAAAGAATTACAAGTCTGAGCCTCATGAGGACTCTTCTGTGCACCCTGGCTGAGATGTGGTGGAAACTCTCTGAGGGCAGTGTATGCATTTGTACCAAGATTTAAAACATGCCTCATCTTTGACCAAGCAAGTTCACTTCTAGGGTGTTACCCTTAGGACAAACTAGGAGATAGATGAACCAGTGTAAATTCATGACAACTAATGGGAAGCAAGCTCTCTGCTGTAGCAAGGTGGCAGGTGGTGTGGACAAAGGATAATCCTTAATAGCTGCAGGTCTATTAAGCTGACAACAGCCAGAACATTAAATAGTGCAGTCGTACCTACCAATTGGTAGTTTCCATATAGTTCACTTATCAGAGAATAGGGGAACTTGCTGTTTGTCCTGATTTTAGAATACATGTTCTGTATGTGGATGTGAAGAGAGTGTATGCAAACTCATGCTATATATTAGTCTTCCTGTGGTTTACCACATCTGACTGTGACCTTTTCAAGGCGCATGATCTCTATCATATCCCCAACCCCTCACATGGCAGCAATGCCTTTTCCTGTGGTTTCCAGTCCTGGTGCTCAGAATTCTCATTCACATGAACCTGTTTATCCCATTAGGCTCTAAGTCCTACAGGAGGAAGAAAGAGATGGAATCATGGCGGCCTTACATTTACTCCTACAGAACCTTACCAAGGTAAGTGCAAAGGAGTGAGTCCATTTGATTCTTTTGGTTGTTGTTTTGCTGGGGATGGAAGCAGGCTTCTGCTAGGCCAGAGCTCTGCCCTAAACTTTTAGTTTTGTTAGTAAGAAACTCTGCAGCCGGAAGTCTCCTGCCTATTCATTTACAGTGAAGGGAAATGACACCTGGGTGAGACACTTCAGATCCTTGCTTGCAGAAGGAGATGGGATATAAATATACTATTAAATTGGATGAGTCTGCTGCGTCAGGAGGAAGTCAGACCAGACACGAATAGTCCACACACGTACGTTGTCAGGGTGGAAGGAGGGGGCTGGACTGTGTGGGTTGCTAGTCCCCTGTAGGGAGCTCACCCACAACACTCCCCCATGGGCATCAGGCCTGCGTCCAGTGACGAAGGTGAGGACAGTCACAGTCCCCACCTGGTGTCTCTGTCACACCGCAGCAGCTGACACACAAGGTGGCTGAGTCATGGCTGAGTCGGCTAGCCAGCTCAGAGGTCCTTCAGCCAGGATTTGTCAGCACTTACTATGTGCTTGCTGCAGAGCTGTGAGCCTGGGCATCAGCTGTTGATTCAGCCTAATGTAGCTGTTTTCTTTCTTATATTTAGTATGCTTTCCTTCAGTTACATAGGGGACATATACTCACTGGAGAAAATCTACTTCCCCAGAGATAACTGTATTCATATTTTTATACAGACTTTCAATATTTTTCCTTCCTTCCTTCCTCCCTCCCTCCCTCCCTCCCTTCCTTCCTCCCTCCCTCCCTCCCTCCCTTCCTTTTCTTCCTTCCTTCTTCCTTCCTGTTTTTTGGGTTTGAATTCAGAGCTTGCTTAGCTGGCAATCTACTCCTTGAGCTATGCCTTCTGCTCAGCTTTTTGCTGATTATTTTGGAGCCAGAGTTTCACAAACTTTTCTGCCTAGGTTGGTGTCAAACCTTGATCGTCCAGATCTCAGCCTTCTGAGTAGCTAGGATTATATGCATAAAGCATTAATGGCTGGCCTCAACTTATTTATTTAATAAATAACATGCTTTATAGCTGGGCACTAGTGACTCATACCTGTTTTCTTAGTTACTTGGGAGGCTGAAAATGAGAGGATTGTAGTTTGAGGTTAGGCCAGACAGTAAAGTTTGCAAGACTCCTTCTCAATCCTTAGCCAGGCTCAGAGGCTCACACCTGTCATTGTAACTTTATGGGAGACTGATATGGAGAGAATTGAGACTCCAGGTCAGCCCAGGCAGAAAAGTACCTGAGATACCATGTCAAGGGAAAGAACCTGGGTATGGTGATGATTCTTGTCATCTCAGCTGGTGCAGAAAGCAGTCTAAGTGCATGCCTGGGCAGGAAGGAAGATCCTACCTTAAAAATAAACAGTATAAAAAAGACCTGGAGACATGGCTCAGCAGTAGACCCTAGCAAGTATGAGACCCTGGGTTAAAAACCCACGTACTACCAAAATGAAAACAAAAATCTCCTTTCCACATATCCTTTTCAAAGATTGTTAGACATAATATATTAAGATCACATTTTGGGTAAACGGCAATGGTGGCCGGGACTGTAGTGAGAAGGACTCCCTGGAGCCTTAAGGAAACTGGACTTGGGGAGTTCAGCTTGAATATTTTCATGTAATTGTACAATCAGGTTAGGGTGAACCTTAAAATTGATTTTAAGGGAGAAAAGAGCTACCCGGGAAGATCCAGGGGTTCTAAGCAACTGGTTTGTCTTAGAGACACCATCCCTGCAGCCTCTGGTGCACCAGTCAGTGCTCCTGGCAAGCCCTGTGGGAGGCCATCACTGCCCATTGCTATCCACATAGGTAGAGCTCCAAGTGGCGAGGGCCTTGCCAAAATGACAGCAGCATGAGATACAGCTGCCAGTTTAAGACCGAATGACGGATGGGTTGGTTATTGGTTGATTTAAGGACCAATTGGAAGAACTGCCTTAAAAACCCCTCTGTTTTCTACTTAGCAGTCACTGCTCCAAGCCCCTTGAAGTCCCTGGCACTGGCAATATGAGAGACTCTGCTGATTCCATCTCCTGACCCCTAGTGTTCAGTAGGTGGAACTGAACTGTTCCCAGGCTGCCTTGTCCCTCGGACATTGATCCAAGTGATTCCTTTTGAGACTTCTCCATAAAAGGAGAGAAGGGGACAGTTTGGATTGGGTCATGAACTTCATCCTAAGCCTGTTATCAGCTGTTAGGATACAGAGAAGGGATCACTGGAGTCCAGAAATAATTGTGAGTCCTGCATTTGTTGATTTCTACCCTCTCTCTAGTTAAATCTAGTCCTGGGTTTGAACTGAAGGCTTTGTGCCTGCTAGGCAAACATTACCACTTGAGCCATACTGCCATCCCATTTTGTGTAGTTAATCCTTCCTATGTTTTCTGCGTAGCTGGGATACATGACCATCTTATTGATTGAGATGGGTGGGGGGAGTCTTACTTTTTTCCCCAGCTAGCCTTGAGCCAGATCCCCTCACCCTTCCTTTCACTTCTATCTCCTGAGTGGCTGGGATTACAGGCATGAGCCACCTTGTCTGGCCCTCCCGCATTAAATCTGTTAGTAGAAATAGCAAGGGGGCAAAATCAGACTTCCTCTTTTTCTGGTCTTTTCTTACAAAGGTCAAGATATACTGAGTCAAACCTAAATAAAGCACTGACATGTAGAAAGTCTGAGCAGGCAATGTGGAGAGCTTTTGCTCCTGAGGAAACAATGAAATACTTCTCATTAGGGCTCATTACATCCCTTCTAGTACCTAAAACAGTGCTTAGATGCAGGAAATATTTGATGCATGTTGAATTTGGTGGGTAAACTTTTTTATCTTTTTAAAGCGATCCAAGTCCTCCCAGAATAGAATGGATTATTTTCAAACTTTTTTTGCCTAGCATATAAACTATTTGAGTCCAAGGCTCTTGCAATTTTTATGAAAAGGATCAAAGCACACATGTAGTAGTTTCGAGAAGGATTTGGAATGAATGAAGATGAGGTATTCTGAAATGAGGGCCCAATGAAGTATCAAAACATCAATCAATGTTTCCTCTCTGTCTCCAAGATAATATGCTCTGAGTATTTCCAGAGAGTACCCCAAGAAACTCTTTTATGTTCATGCTGAAAATAAGGCAAAGAAAATAAGGTAGGAATCCTACTGGAAAAAATAACAAACAGAGACTAATTGATGGTTTGTAGTTTGCATCATTCAGTGTAACAAGATTTCTGGAAACCTCAAACTTTGGCTCTGTCTGGAGGCAGGTCGGTTCATACTTACTGAGCCGTATAAAAGCCCGTCGGCATCCATGGCCAAGTATTGGCCAGTCTCGGTGCTCTTTATATAGACCTCCCCCACGCTTTCCGCACTCAGTTGCAGCTGAACTGGAATAAAAATAACACAGGCAAAAGTAAATAAACACCACGCTTTTACTGATAGAGTCCAGCAGCCACGACAGTTGGCCATGGAAAATTCTGCTCATTCGTTTCACACAGCTTCAGGATGAGCCTCCAATGAATCAAAACATAGAAAATAGAGTCTCTTTTTCTTTGCCCTCCAAAGAAAGCTGTCCAAGAGGAATTATGTTCCTGAGAGGAGAAGAAACTCTGACTGTCTCATCCATCTGTCCATCCTGTTTATTACAAAGCCACCCCTTGTGTGCCTGCCCAGCATCTCTTCCCCCCCTCCCTCTTTGCTGGGGAAAAATAATCATGGGAGGAAGTATCCCTCATTTCCTTGGCTGTGTCAGCCCCAGCCATCTTAGGGTGCTGTGGAGCAGGCAGCTGGCCAGTTTGCTGTATGTTCTACTTAGTGTTTGGCTTGCTCTGTGCATCGGGGAAGACACCGTGTGGCCTGTGCCTTCTAGACATGGGAGAGACTTGCTGACAGATTGCTGTTCTTTAAAATCTGAGATTGTCCCAGACAGAAGTTCTTGGGGACCTAGATTACTGTCTATGAGATGGAGAAAATTTACCCACAAGGCAGTTCCGTGACTGTCCAGCCTCTGGTCCAGACAGCACTGTATTACCAGGTTTCCTGGACAGGCAACTATGAATTGTTCTCAACCAGAGGCCACCTTGTCCCCAGGGAACATCTGGCAATGTCTGGGAACAGTTTGGGATGTCACAACTGGACAGTAGTGGAGGGTACTACTGGCATCTAGTGGACAGAGTCCAGGGCTGCTGCAGAATGCCCCATAATGCATGGAGCAGCCCCACAACAAAGAACCATTCAGTCCAAGGAGTCTGCCGTCCAGGTTGAGAAACCTGGAGACTGATGGCAAGAACTGTGAGCTCCACTGGGCCCAAGCCTCACATTTGCATGGTTGATACTCCCAGGATGCTTTGCCCAGTGCTGGATGCATAACTGTAGGCCAAGCTTCAGTTGATAGTTATCCTTTTTCTACATTCATCCTCTGGAGGGAGGTGCTTGATGGAATCAGGATTAATTCTGGACTCTTCTAGACAGTTTGTTTTGTCATGGATGGTCATAACCACCAATAGAATTAGAAATGAAATCTAGATGGGGAACATAGGCAATGTCTAAGGTACTGGGAAGACAAGAGACTTCTTTGCTTTTCTGGAGTCAGCTTACCAAAGGTGAAGGGGCCTGGAGGGCAGGATCCCAGGGCTTTGGTTGGCAGGTCTACATCACTCATAGCCATCTTCTTTCTCCCCTGTCTCCTCCTCTTTCCTTTTTTCTCTCTCATTAGAACTTGAACCCAGAGCTTCTTGCTTGCTATACAGATGCTACACTGCCGAGCCTTGCCTAAAACTCTGAATGTCATTTCTTAGAACAGGAAATCCATGTACATGTTTCAGAATTGGAAACAGTATGGAGAACAAAATGTCTTCCTCTCCTGCTCCCATTCTTACTATTTGGCAGATTGATATTGAACATCAGGAGCGGATAAGATGCTGTCCCCCACCCCCCCAGGCACATTTGTCCTTGAGAAGGGTGGGCAGAACAGGAGCCCCTCAGGATACATTTTATGTGGATCTTTCTAGAGAGATTTTATGCATATGTGGCCAAATACACACCATCCCTCCTCTTTTATACCCATGAAGGGGTATTCCAATGATATACCAATGACAGGAAATGCAGTTCAAATGGTTCAATGGTAGAACATCCACCTAACAAGCATGAGGTCCTAAGTTCAAACCCAAGTTCTTCCCCTCCCCCCACAAAGAGATATACCAATAATAACATGCTATTCAAATAGTTCTACATCTTGATTTTTAATTTTTAGTTTTAGTTTTGTCCCAAGAACTATTTACACCAGTTAAATTGTGTTGCATTATCCGGTTATGCCACAACCATTTAATCACTTCCTCCTAGACATGCCAGTGTTCTCAGTCTCATTTCCCTTTGTCTCCTCATTGTCTGATTATTCCCATAGGTGAGACATAGTTCCATCACCCTTGTGAAGGCCCACTGCTCTGGTCCTTGGAAATCTTCTGTAGAGACACAGGACCTCTTTAACTTCCTGTAGTAAGTGGAATTTGTTGACTTTATAAGAAGGTAGGAAGCTGCTCATCTCTTTTCTGACTGGTCTCTCCATCTTTACTTAGCTCTGAGAGTGTGGTCATGAGAGAACTGCTGGCAGAGTATCCATCAGGAGCTGAGTTCTGCCCTTTCCAGCCTCAATCGCACCAATCAAATCACACCACTTGCCTGCTCTATTCTACCTGTTTTAGTTCTTCAACACACATCAAACTCCACCCCAGGATCGTTACACATGCTATGTCCTCTGGCACCTTCTTCCCCCAGATATTCACCAGGTTGGTTCTCTTCCTCCTCTAGGCCTCAGCCTGAATATCTTTCCTCAAGTGCTTGTGACCCCCCTTCCCCACCACTGCCCCTGCCAACTCCTTGCCTAGTCCTCGCATCTCTCTCTTTCTCGGCCCCTTGCTTGTTTTTCCTATGACATTCAGCATACAACGGTTTTATTATTTAGAGGTTTACTCATTTATGATTTTTGTCCCTAGGAAGCAGAGAGGAGAGTAAGGACAGGGATCTTTGTCTGTTCTGTTTCCCCCTGACTGCAGCTCCTGTTCCTCACACAGTGCCCTGCACAAAGGGGCCAGGCCGTATTTGGATAAATGTTAGATGTCAGTGTTTGTTGGGTGATGTTAGGCTAATATTGGCAGAGATGATTCTCTTGGTATTCATCAGTAAGCTGTTCTCTCTGAATCATGTTTCCATTAGTGATCTGTGGCACAGAATAAGATGGGACTCAAGTGGGAACTGTCAACTTTAGACTGAGCCAGGCGACCTTGGCCAGACTGCTTAATCTCTCTCAGCCACAGGCTCTTCTTTGGTACAAGGGGAGGTAATGGCTTCTTTTTCCATCAGTTCTTTCCTGATCCAATAGCTTCTGAAACGAGATACACTGAACAGCAAGGCTACATGCCCAGAATCATGTTTTCTGCAGTGCTGTCACATGGATAAACTTTAATATGTGAGCTGAAGGCTCACATATTTCCTGATTCCACTTGCCTGAAAGGTATAAAATAAGCAAATCTCTAAATAGAGCAAGTAGATAGCCAGGGGCTGGGTGGAATGGAGGTGGCAGAATTGTGATAGAGAGATGTGGGGTTTCTTTTGGAAAGTAGTCTATAATTGATTGTGGGAAGAAATAGTTGTACAACCCTGTTAAGAAAAGTTGTAGTGGGCACCAGGTGGCTCACACCTATAATCTTAGCTACTCAAGAGGCTGCGATCTGAGAACTGTGGTTCAAAGCCTGTATAAACAAGAAAGCCTGTGAGGGCTGGGAAGGTGGCTCAGTGGTAGAGCACTTGCCTTGCATGCATGAGGCCCTGGGTTCGATTCCTCAGCACCACATAAGCCCAGGCCCAGAGTTCAGGCCCCACGACCGGACCCTCCCCACAAAAAAAAAAAAGAAAGCCTGTGAAACTTTTTATCTCCAATTAACCACCAGAAAACAGAAGTAGTGCTGTGTCTCAAAGTGGTAGAGCGCTAATCTTGAGTGAAGAAGCTCAGGAACAGTGCCCAGGCCCTGAGTTCAAGCCCTAAGACTGACAAAAAAAAAGTTGTGAGGGGAGTGGAGGAATGTTCAAGTGGTAGAGTACCAGCTTTGAGTAAAAAAAGCTAAGCAAGAGCCCAAAGCCCTGAGTTCAAGTTCCAGTACCAACACAAAAAAGAAAAAGAAAGAGGAGGGGAAGAAAGGAAATAAAAAAGAAAAGCTGTGAGGACGCCCCTCCCCAAGTAGATCACATACTTTATTTTTATTTTTATTTTTTTGGGGGGGTCCAGTCGTGGGGCCTGAACTCTGGGCCTGGGCGCTGTCCCTCAGCTCTTCAGCTCAAGGCTAGTGCTCTACCACTTGAGCCCCAGTACCACTTCCGGCTTTTTTCTTTTTGCTTATGTGGTACTGAGGAATCGAACCCAGGGCCTCAGGCATGCAAGGCAAGCGCTCTACCACTGAGCCACCTTCCCAGCCCGATTACATACTTTAAATGGGTGAATCATATTGTGCATGAATTCTTTCTCAATAAAGCTGTTTTAAATGTCTTGCATTTTTATTGGACTTAAGGGATTTTTTTGGAGAACTTTCATATATATCAGTGTAATTCTCTATTTAGATGTGACCAAAGGAAGAGAGAAACCATTTACTGATCACTTTCATGTGCCTAGCATCATGCTAATTTCTGCCTTGGTATAAAAGAAGTTAATTTTAAAAAGCAGGAATGAACAATTCTACCTGTATATTAGCTGCATGATCATGGAGCAAGTTACCCACCCTTCATTTCCTTATCAATAAAAATAATAGTTGGAGGATTAAAAGAAAGTGACTAGTGGCCAGTGCAATCCTGTCATTTTCTTTGTGCAAATGGGACCTTGTCTGCTCTTCACCAAGTCCCCTGAGCAGGTGGCACCGGCTCCAAGCTATAGGGGAGGAACTAAAATTTGGTGAAAACTTGTTTTAGTCAAATCAGAATAATCCTGACCCAAGCCAAGAGTGAGTTCTCTCAGTACCTTCTCTTTTCTTTCCTACGCATGGCCTCTTGGGCTCTAGTTATGGGATAGATTGGCCCAAAGCCATACTCTCCTACTTAGAAACTAGATGTGTTCAAGATGGTGGGCGGTCCTCCAGGATCCCATTTGTAGCCATGGAACAAGTGAGGTTAGTGCCTGGGATTTTTCCTCCCACCTACTGTAGTCCCATATAGGCATTTAGTCAAATGTATTCTGAGTACCACAGAAATATAATGGACAGGTCCTTTTAGGTAGAGAAGGAAGATGTTTTTGGAAAGCTTTTGGTTTCCTGGTTCATTTCTGATCTGTCTCCTTCGGTCACATACATGTGTTAAGAAGAGTTGACTTGTCCCCAGAGTCCAGTTACTGCTGTGGAAAGGCCTC